ATTGAACAGCACTGTAGAAGGTGGGGAACATTTTCACAAGCATGTTTGACTGAGGCATAATTTGCATTATTCCTATCAGTGGTACGAGCAGTGATGGAAGTTCACGAGGCCAAATGCAAGGTCTCTCCCTCCAGGAGCTGCAGGTCAGAGCTCAAGTGCTCAAACCAAAACTTCATCTGTAGTCACAGCTGGCTATGAAGGTGGCTTTACAAATCATGTGTTCTCCTCTGTAAGCCTTTGTTTATTTATTGCTAACCTTACACTGTGAACAAAGACAAGCAAGAAAATAGCCCTGGCCAGGTCACCAGTACAAAACCAGTCCTTACCTGTGTGATTAATGTCAGAGTAAGGGATACCTGACTACTTCTCAGTAAGCCAGTGCAGAATTATTCAGATAGGACAGAAGAAGCAGCAGGAAAAGAAGAACCTGGTACAAACAAACAAGGGGTAATTCCAGTTCAGGAATACAAGCTGGTGGAAGGCAACCCACCGAAATAAGAAATATAGACATAAATTCAGGTGAACAGCTCCACAGAGCAAGTTTATTTCTGATGTATATCTGCAAGCTGAAATGCAAAATGGAATATCCAGCAAGAGGCTATGAACCTCTATTCAAAGCCAGTCTGGATGGGGCTTTGAGCAACCTCATCTTGTGGAAAGTGTCCCTGGCCATGGCAAAGGAATTGGAAGTGCATGAACTTTAAGGTCCCCTTCCGACCCAAACCGTACTATGATTCTATGATCACAGATGCCAGAACTGAATGAAATCTGAATTTGCTTTTTCATGGCTAGCAGTCCAGCTACCAATGGATGAAATTCTTTTCTGTTTCTGTTTTTTTCCAGTGCAGGAAATTTATGTATCAAACCTTTTTCTGAGGTCAGTAAAATTATGACCCCATTGTAATTTAAGTTAGTTATTTCTCAAATAAACAGATAAATTAGACTAACATAAAAACTGAGATGTATGTAAAGAGAGTGGCAGCTCTCCAGGTAAAAAGAATCAGCCATCTGCTCTAAAATAAAATAAAAAAAAAAATCTAATAAAACCCAGTGACAGATCACTTCATTCACTGAGAGAAACTTGGAACAGCGGGGCCGAAATCTGCTACTTGAAACTGGAGGAGTCACACAACAGAGAGTTTGCAAATAATCCAATGGACTGTTCACTACGTGGAGATTCAACATTTGTCTTAAGTCTTACTACCACTACTGCTATTATTATTGTTATTATTATCATTATTATTATTATTATTATCAGTTCATTTTGAGGTCTGTTTATAACTTTGAGATGGTCTTTAGCTGGTAAACCTTTTGAGGTTTGAGCAGTACTACACAAAGTAGTAGAAAATGAGGTCTCTCTATTTTATTTCTTGGAGTGATTCTTCTTTTTAATAACTTTTGGGAGAGTCGATTTGTCACCTTTGAAGTGAAGGTATTTAAGGGTCTAGAGTTTAATTAGGAAAATGACAACTGACTTTACTGAAAGAGTTTAATTCAACTAAACGAACAGAGACAAACTGTTTTCGAGCTGGAAGATCTGTTTGGAGCTGGTTTGTGCTGGAATGTCACCCACACAAATCTTGTGAGGGAACATTAAGTGACAATACACTCAAAATGATGAAGCTTGTGTTGGAGCAAATTCTCTGTGGCTGGAAAAAAAAATGCTTAAAGGAGGAAATATTTACATCCCAGTTTCTAAATTAGCTATTAATTAAATATAAAAGTTTGATGAGGCTTTTTGTAAACATCTTCACACAATCTTGTCACCACATTGAGTTTTTTCATGCTTTTTCTCTTTTGTTTAAGCTCTTACCTCAGGCCTTGTTCCAGGATAGGGTGTTAGTTCTTTAGACTGGCAGTCTAAAGTCTAATAGTCTAATTCTTTAGACTATTGTAGACCAACTGGCAATTTAAATTTAGGACTTTGCATTTTAAAAAGAAATTAAATGTTTATATAAACAGTAGGCTCAGTTCTCTGCAGCCCTGGGGCACCTAGGCTAGTCCTTCCTTCCCCAGAATCCAGCCCAGTTTCCTTCTGTTGGCTGAAACTAGCAATAGTGAATGTAAGAATGAGCAAATAATAATAATGATGAAAAAAATATCAAAAATAATTTTGGCTGGGGCAGCAATTCCACTTTAAAGACCTTCCTCTCTTGCACTGTCATTTTCTCTGCCCACGATGAAGGTCTTAAACACATGCAGTGGAAAATACAGTGTGGAGAACGTTCAAAATCAAGGTCAGCAAAGAGGAATTTTCTCCAGAATACACATTTCATAGAGACAGAAATGCTCACCCCTAGAGTCTGATCTTTCTGCTGTTAGAAAAGTCCTTGCTCTTGCTGCTGAATTGCTACATGAGCAGTGCCTGTGGCTCAGGGGGCACCCTCAGGCTCCCCACATGCCAAACAAAGGAAGACTAATTTTCTGCCTGTAGAAACAAGGTGTGCTGGGGCATAGAGACCCTGGGTACTATGAGCTACTTGAGGAGGCTTCTGCTATTTAAGAAGGAAGAGTAAGGAATAGGTGGGATTCTGTACTCCTGGATGAGAAATGCTACAGAAAAATATGAAAGAATTAATCAGAATTAAATAAATAGATAGATAGATAAGCCCACCACAACCCCCCCAAAACAGAGGGTTACAATTAAAATCCTGGCTCTGCTGAAATCAATGGTAAAGAGTTTTCCTCCTTACCTATGTTACTGTTTTTCTCCAAATGAGCAAGATCAATGCAGAGGTTTCCTGTGCAGGGAGGAAAATAAACAACAACAACAAAGGTGAAAAATTAGAAATACATAGAGAGCTTTGATAAAATATTACAAAATGTGGTAACATGCCAGCAGTGCTGACTGCTGATGTGCAATCTCCCTATGAAGGTGACCAGTATATTTGATTAACACGTTTCTAACTGTTAGGTACTAACTACTTCAATCAATTAAATATCTTTTTTTTTTTTTTTTTTTTTTTTACTGCTTCAGGTGAATTCAATGCTTTTACTCTCTCTCTGTTGAATGCTGGTTGATCTCCATTGAACTGTGACACTTCATCTTGCATTAAACTGTAATACCAAAACTGTGTTCACCCATGCAGTAGAAGAACTCCCATAGAACCCTACTGGGATACTCACAGTAGTAAGTGATGAGGTAGGAGTGGGTTTCAGTCAACTGGCATCTATTTGTGCTGTATATTTTATGGCCCTAAATTCAAGTAGCAGTCACTTTTAAAAAATTAGTGCAATGTCTTTAATTAGAGGAGAAGATCAACCAAGAACCTATAATTATCAAAAAAAAAAAACAAACTCACTTGTAGTTGATGCAGTGAGTAGTGCCTTTGTCATAAGTCACAGCAAGTCCCCTCTGTTCTTGGGCTAGGTCACTCATCAGTCAGCTTCAAGGGCAATCACTACTAATTAACAAGTCTTTTGAACTCTTCCAGTGGCCCAGACCACTGAGGTGCTGTAAGAATAGTAAGACATGCAGCTCTTAAGGTTGTCTGTCCTTTATGCTTGGCAGAAAAGAAACTTCCTTCAGTACAATTAAACCAAAAGTATTGCAGCCATCCAAGTCTTTCTCACTAGAGAACTACCTTCCATGCTCTTGATAATTTGGCATGTGTATCCATACACAGAAAAGAAAAAAGCTGTGCAGAGAGACCATCTCCCTTCTCTACTGTAATGAGCAGAATTAGGACTGGACATTGAAAATAGAGCTTTGACTTGGGTTAAATCTGGCTGGAGGCATTCATCTGAAACCTGAGTTAGTCAGATGGCAACAACAGGGTGTTCTCAATTGGAACTGTGTATTTCGGGCTGAAAAAGGGTTGAAAGAGTAAACAAAGATGACACCTTGCATCTGAGGTTAGATTTTCTGATTGTGGTGCACTCGGGACCAAGCCAGTAGAAACTCTGTTTCATATAGGCAAACGTGATTTCTTTGAAGGAACAGAGAACACCACCACCAGTTTCTCCTCCTAACTGTAAGGACGTGCAGTATCACCGATAACCTCTCTAGACCCGAAGAGATCATATCTTTACAGCTCTTTGATATGCAGATAGTGGGAGCTGCTATTCTTATCCTGCTGGTTTTGCGCTTAGCCTATGGAAAACACAAACTGGTTCTCCCATGCTTTTCCCTGTGCCCATCCCTCTTGCCTCCCCAGGTGGCACAACATCAGCAGACAGGCCGTAGTCCTCAGGGGGAGCAGGTCCCGCTGCCAGCATGGAGCTGATGTGACACACCCCACACAAGCCCAGTTCGTTCCAGGGACATATTTAAAACATCCCAGACCCCTTTTAATTTAAGCTGTAATTGATAGCTGGCTTTGGCAAAGAGCAGTTTTGCAGGTGTCGAGAGTTTAATCGCGGCCACGCGAATGAGCTTCTCTTGAGTCACAGCTACCTCGGTGTCACGGAGGAGCATCCCCTGAGTCACACCAACCCAGCCACCTGCCCCATTTCACTGGGAGCAGGAAAAAAAACAAACACAAAAACCTATAAAAAGATGGGTCCTTGAAATAAATAAACAGCCGCATCAAGGTGCAGATCAGCCTCTTCTCTCAGGCAGCCAGTGACAGGATGAGAGGACATGGTCTTAAGCTGCACCAGGGGAGGTTTAGGTTGGCCATTAGGAGGAATTTCTTCACAGAAAGGTGATTAGACAGTCGGAATTGGGCTGCCCAGGGAGGTGGTGGGGTTGCCGTCCCTGGAGGTGTTTAAGGACAGACTGGACATGGCACTGAGTTGCCACGTTGACACGGTGTTGTTCAGCCATAGGTTGGCCTCTATGGTCTCAGAGGTCTGTTCCAACATAATCGATTCCGTGATTCTCCCTGCGGCAGCCAAGGAATCCCAATCCACGCAGCACGGGCGGGCGGGTGACAGCCTGTAGAGCCCGAGGCGGGACTCGAACCCGCGCGTCCTCAACCCGCGGGCTCCACCCCGCGCTCCCGGGGGGCCGAGCCGCGCAGGCGCAGCCGGGGCGGCCGGGCGGGGGCGCTGCGGGGCGGCGGGAGCGGGATCGGGATCGGCGGCCGCTGAGCCCGCCATGGGTGACGCGCCCCGCAGGGCGGAGTCGGGCACGCAGGTGAGGCGCTGCCCTCGCCCCCGCCCCGGCCCCTCAGCCGCGGGGCCCGGGCGGGGAGGGCTGGGCGAGGCCGCAGCCGGGGGAGGGGGGAGAGCCGGGCGCTCCCCTCAGCGCCCCGGCTGAGCGCCCGCGGAGCGTCCTGAGGGGTGTGCGGGAAGGAGGGGAGGGTTCAGCCGCCTGGGGGCTCCCTGGAGGGTGTCCGTGGGTGGCAGCGGCTCCAGGCGGGCTCAGGGTCCTGTGCATCCCTGCCCTGCCGGTGTGGGGGTGCGGGCAGCTGTCCGTGGGCGCCGCTGTCAGCACGGGGGGAGGCCGGGTCTGGTGTCTCGGGAGTTGTTTGTAAATGTTCCCTTCGCGCTCACCTCCCAGGAGCTGGAGTGCGTGCCTGAGGAAGAAGGGCTGTGGGGAAGGTTTGGTTTAAACGTTTGGACTCGGTGATCCTAAAGGTCTCTTCGAGCTTCGACGGTTGTGTGATTCTGTAAATAAAGAGTATGGGAGGTGGAATTGCTTTACTTCTCTTAGTAGAAAAGGGAGTTTGAGTTTGGGGTTTTGTTGCCTTGTTTGTTTTTGGTTTGGTTTGTTTTTTTTTTTTCTCTGCTGGATGGCGTATTTGTTAAAAACCTCCACTTGAAACCAGCAACTTAATTGCTTGGAGATTTTTGTGTAACTATCAGAATACATCGAGTAGTTCATATAGAAACGTAGAAATGTGTGGTAGTATTTATTTCTTGATAAAACTCCGTGTTTTTTCAGTGGGACTTGAGCTCTTAAGCCCTTTTGACACTTAAAAAAAAAAAATAGTACCAGATGTCCACTATCAGCAAATAGACATGAATTAAGGACATGAGTTGTGCTATGTCCGAGGGGGTGAATGCATTTATTTGTCGTTGTGAGTGGTGCCAGCAGGGAATGCACATGGCATCAACTGGCTGTGATGGATGGATAAACCAACCTGGACCAAGGGAGGAACTGACAACCGATGGGTTAAGAAAGGTTAATGTATGAATACACCACCCAGGAAAAAAATGGTAAAAGCCCTTGAAACAGAAAACACTTAATTTAAAACAATGCTTCCTCAGATAGCCTCCTGCATAAGATCAGGTTATCGTGGGACCACAGTCTTGTACTCTTATTATTGAATATAATTAATACAACAAATTAGAATTACTCGCAAAATACCTTTGGTGTATCACAGTAAAATTAATGATAAATTGCTTGCATATCTCTTCATGCCCAAAGTTTATAAAAGCTCAGTCAGAGTGGTTATAGTGGTTGAAAATTAAGTTTTGTCTCGTACTCAAGATGGGTTTGTATGTGTAAACAGCCTGTAGGTTAGCTCACAGCCTCTAACAGAGCTGGAGCATGTAATTTGAATTTCTTTAACATTTTAATGAAGTAATCTCTCATTCCTGACAAGACCTACATGTGTGCTTCCATTTATGCATAGCTCTGTTGAAACCAATAGAGTATAAGCACATCGTGTGTTAGTCAGTGGTACTGTCCATATGCATATTTGCTTATTAAGAATTTGATAAATTATAAAAGGCATAGTTGAAATATTTGAGTCCCATCAGCCTTGTCATTAATGAAATTTAACCTAGCTGCTGTCTGACTCTTCTGTATAACTTGTTTTTTACACGTGACTGCACAGATGTGCAGTTTCTTGCTGGCATAATTACACTTGAAGAACACCTAAGAGCGAAGGCCTAGCACTAGCAGGTTGCTGAAAGGTGGTGGTTTGTGTAAAAGAAGATGAAAAGAGCCTTATGAAAGAATAAATGAGCATCTACAGTTAGATTATGGAATCTGAAGACTTAATATGTAATTGAAATTGTCTTGGTTTTTTTTTTCCCAAGCTCTTCCAGCTCAAAGCTCTCTTGTGCAGTGCTGTGAGCTGCACAGTGTCTGTGGCAAAGCCTGGGACACCTGATGTCCACCCTCCAGATTAACTTTTAAGTGCTGTAGATTTCTCCTCCTCATTTTACACGTGAATATGTGGGGAGGCAAGATGGAAATGCTGCCCTGGAACAGAGCCAAGGTGGCTTTAGCCGATTGGGAAAGCCCCGTGCTGTCCCTGCCTGGAATGCGGGCAAAGGTGAGGGATTGCCTGTCTGGTGCCTCATCTCAGCTTTGCCTCTGTCACTTCTGCTGTGGTGTGGACAAACCTTTGTGAGAGTTGAAGGAAAATTGTTCCTGTTTTCTGCCAGGAACCCCGTTGCTCCCAGCGTGACATTAATGAGGCAAGTGCCTTTGGAGATTCTGCTTCAGATCTCGGAAGTAAATACAAGTTTGATAAAAACACAGGTGCACTATCATCAGCAAATTACCATAAATTACCTACATGAGCGGTGCTCAGAGTAAGCACCTGTAGTTATTTAAAATTAATATATAAACTTGTTGTTTAAATAACTGCAGATTCATATTTAAATGATGCCAGTCAATCTACCATGTGTTTCCAAAGCTCTGGCAGTAAGCTTAGAAGAGGTGACAGTCTAAGAGGAGACATGGGCTCATTGTTTCAGAAGAAATAAACTGCAGAGGATGTTTTGTTAGCGTAGAAATAAATTTAGGAGCAGGAGGCTGCAGAAACATGTTTAGCCAAGCGATGGTTATGACTCCTGGACCCAGCAGTGCCCGTGATCCAGCCCCCTGTTATCCCAGAGTGCAGGAGAGGTGCTTCCTCTGCTAAGAAGTGAAGAGCATCAGCAAGCAGCAGCCTGTGGTGGTTTTCCTCTTTCTCTCAACTCCTACTGCTGGATGAGGGGGTGAAGTTCCCAGCCCTTCTCGCCAGGGGCCAGGGCCAGGCATTGGCAGCTGCTTGCACAGAAGAGCTGCCCGTGGAGGGTCTTTCTTGGTAGTTGAGAGCTCCTGGTTTATGTGTCCCAAGATACCTTCGTGTATTCTTGTGTACATAAGGCCATTTGGATTTTTCCTTTTTCTGGGTCACAGGACTCTACTGGTTCCCAAAATACTCCAGAGCTCACCATGTGAGCGTTTTGTGTGCTGCACAAATGCGTGAAATGTAATGGGAGGATCCACAGATCCAGAGCAAGGTCAATCCAAGCGTTTTTCTGGTCCTTCTGTGGACAAGTCAGAAAACTCTCCTTTATAGGAGTGAACAGGCCAAGGCAAACACGCTGACATTTTGTTAATGGAAGGGACTGTTAAAGTGTCAGTGAAGACGTCACACTTAGGTTCCCATCGTGACCACTTGAAGTAAATTTAGGGCCATTTAATGGAGTTTTATTCTACTATGAAAGGCAAACACAATTCTTTAAAAAACTGTTAAGACAATTCAGAGCAAATGTTGCTTATGGATGTGGCATAGAGCAAAGCAAGAGAAGGCAGCAGTTTAACACAGTGTAACTGTGTGTGCTCACTGCTGGTTTGGTCTTGAGGAGGATGGGATAACGCTGAACAGGATTTGTTTTGTTCAGAGCTTTAAATGACAGCTGGGTGTGTTGGACAATGAAGTATTTGGAACCAGGGTACGTGCTCTGGTCTCACTCTGAGCATCCCAACAGTGTCCTTTCCCAAGTGTGCTGATACACATAGGGAATAACAGCTCTGGTACTGGTGGAAATGTTCATTCTTGGTTTATGCAGTGTGCCAGAACTACTAATAACACAGGTTATGTCAATACCTGTCTACTTGCTATGCAAATACCTCTCAATTTAAGAAACTGTCCGTGAACTTTGAACTAATTTGTTTTACAATGGGCTTGCTTTACAAGGGGCTTTGGAGAACATGCTTTACAAATTCAAGCTTGCTTTAGAAAGGTTCTTGCAGGGCCACTGGTGACTAATTACTTTTGATCATTCTTAATCCATACTCTGTTTGAACAAGTAACTATGATATAATAAGATTGTAGCCCAGAGGAGTTGTGTGTAACTTCTCAGGTGAAATGCACATGGTTTTACTTACAAATGCTCAGAGGGACTGACTCAGGAGATTGATGGTGGGTAAGGTTTCACCTCTCAACCAGTAGTTTTTTGTGAAGGTGGTGGTTGTTACAAATGATCTTCTTTCCCTTTGTTCTTCCCAGTGGCAGCACTACTTTGTCCCAGAGGTGATCCTTCTTGCTAACCTACCTGTGCAGCTTTTCTTTTTAAGCTTTTATTTCCCCTGATATATCCACTCCTCATTGCCATTGAATCGGTGTGCTCATTGTGTGTGAGGATGGAACCGTCTGTAGTCCAGACTACGTGCTTCCATGTGTATTTTTGAAAACATTTTTAAAGTCAGGCTAATCTTTTGATAGGGCTGTCACGGAAAACTGTCAGATTTAGGTTTTATTGCCTAGGTCCATTGTTTTGAGTTAACAGCGTGTCTCTCTGTCTTGTCTTTTAAAGCTGCTTGCACGACTCGAGGGCAGAAGCTCTCTGAAGAATCTTGAACCTTATCTGTTTGCTGAGGAAGGATCTCCTGTTCATGGTAAAAATGTGTCTTTATCCCCTTTATGGAAAAATGTCCGTGTAAAAGTATTCTCAGAGCAGTGTGACAGAGATAAGCTTACAAGTAGATGATTTTGTCCTGGATCAGAATTTTAATTGTTGATGTATTTCTATGCAAACTAGATAAAATGGAATGATGCAAAGTCACCATTCCAAACATTATTAAATGGACTTTAAAATATGCTGCATGTATATCAAAACACAGGTGTAGGTGAGTAAATACCAAGCACGTTGGTCAGGTTTTAGTAGTTTTACACCATTTTGTTCTAGAGTCTGTCATTGAACCTCTCAGGTTTTTTTAGTCAGTGCTCTAAACAACCACCACAAAGTCATAACTGCAGAAATTTGCAAAGAACATGAGGTTCAGTAAATGGCAAAGAGTTCAGTGATATGGAGTGGTCTGGAAAATTTAGGATAAGGGGCACGAGCAAACAGTATTTTTCAGTAAAGCCAAGTCATCAAGCCATTCAGTCTTGGCCTGAAAAAATCCTAATTATACTTAGATGGAACTTAAGAAACAATTCCATTGTGGACATAGGTACTAATCAGCTGAATGAGTTCAAGGGCAATGTTTGGATCAGCATGGCTCATGGAGACCTTCAGTGAATAAATGAGAATTTCAAATTGGAGAAGTCAGGAAACCCAAATGACACCTGTACTACAGGTTTACGGGAGATTCTTCTAGCAAGAACTTTTAAGATCAAGATTGGATGTTTTAATGAGCTAAACAGAAATTCACACTCTATTCAGGAAGTCAGACTGGTTTTCCCGATTTTGTGAAATTTCATGAATTTTGTAATGGAAGAGACAACTCTGATTACACAAAAATAGAAATATATAGGAAAAAAGGCACATGAATGACAAACTGCAGGGATCTTGTGGTGGGGTACTACTGTTGTGGAATGAGTGGATTTCATATGGCAGGTACGTGGCTGCAGTGGTTATCAGCACACTTGTCTGCAATTTGAATTCCTACAAATGTAGAAGGTTCAGAAGAAACAGCAGAAAAGGCAGTAAAAAGAATCAGCCTAATTATATGAGAGATGATGCTTAGTCTACAAACACAGTCACTGGGAGACTATTCCTGTGTTGTTTTGCAGCACTTGAGAACACATACGGGTTTAGCAGTATATGATTCCTACCCCAAAAGTTTCAAATGTGACATAACAAGGATAAAGGGCAGAGAAATATGGGTAAGCCAGTCAGTGCAAGTGGAGCACAGAATAATATTTAAATACTCTCAATTCTGAAGTTCTTTGCTATCCACAAGAAGAATTAAGAACCAGTAGTGAAATTGGTATATGTTTCACAAGGCTCTCAAATTCTTAATTGTTTTAAAAGATGAGGTATTTATGTTTTTTAAAAATGCAGTAATAGAAAATACTGATATTTTAGTCTGGGATTTTTTCTGGTCAACTTTACACACGAGAAACAAATATTTGAGACTAAACTGACCATGTTCTAGTCAAACAGACTTTAGGAAGCCTTCTTGAGGGTTAGTAATTGCCTGCAGTCCACAGCATTACATAATTTCATGTCAGATTATTTGCTTTGCTCTTAAGTAGGTTGTTCATGTCTGCCCAAAGACTGTTCCAGAACCTCAGTTCTAAGATGGCTGGAAACCTTGTAAAAGTCATCACTGGTTTCTCTGTGCCAACAGAGTCATTGAGCTTTTGAAGCACTTGTATTTTTCTTCTGCACTGAACAAATGGCGTCAATTATTACCCATAATTTGCCATGCTTTTTGGCTGACACCAATGAAGCTGCATAACGTATTAGCACAGATCTTTAGCTGTATATAGATAAATAGACTTCACCTTCTATTACGTTTTTGCTTTGTCTTTTAATACCACAGTATTCATGTGAGCCCATGTGTTGTTTTGATGTGTGTTCTCATTATTCAGTCCTAAATCCCTGCTGAAGACCTTCCTCTCCATTTGTCATGAACTTGACTTTTAGTGGGTCACAGTGGAATGCTGTGATAGATTGCCCATGAAGTCTGTACTGAACAGCTCTTAATCTAAAATGCTGTAAATAAAGTAGTGCAAGGACCTAAATTTTATTTTTCTTGACGGTATTTAAAGCAAACACATACATGAAATTTCAATAAAGTACCAAATGTTACATTGTAGTTAAGTGTTCGTTACATCTATGTCAGTACTATAAAATAGGGGCGGGTAATATAGGTACTGCTGTGATGTTCTAGCCACTGCCTCTAATTATGATGGACTTGCATATTTAAGAACACATAAGCACATTAATTACATACCATTTAAGCTCTTCTGGAATGGAGCAAAAGTGACACAAGCTTTGAATAATCTTCCCCTATTGCCAATCATATTTCCCCTGTGCCACTGGCATGAAGGTGTGGGTGTCAGTGTAAAGCTCTGATGTTCAGCATGACACCCAATATTAACTTGGAATAAATATGGGGCCCTTCTACTTCACTTATAAATGGTATAAATATTAGTGACAGCTTCTGCACTCTGTTGTAAATCACCAGCCCAGTAACTTCAAGGTATCAGGTGATGTGAAATCCACAGAGTTATTGCAGAGTATTCCAACAGCCTGTTGGGACTGCAGTGTCAGAAAACAGTTTAACCAGCATTTGCCAGTGGAATGATTACAGACAGCAACAAGGCTCTTCTCATTCAAAAGGTAGCACCGAATTGATGACCAGGACTGAGCACAAAGTTTCAGTTAAAAAGTTTCAGTGTTACATAAATATTTACATTTATGCAGCAGCATTTAGCTCGTCCTGCACGTTGGTTCATACCAGTGGATTATTGTTCTCTTTAGTCTGCCCACAGTGGGCCAGTTCAAGCTACCACGAGCCAAGCAATGTGTTGGGTGACTCCTTAAAATCTACTTCTTGAATTCATCAGTGCTGAATTTCATATGAAATCACTCTGCTTATCCATCTCCATCTGTTAAGTCTTCACAAACTTAAGTCTTTATTGACCCAATCAGTTTGTCTTCTACATGTTTTGCCAAGCTAATGGAACATTCATCTACTGCTATGTTTAACGTCTGCCAACACCAGCTCTAATAGAAAAAATTCCCATTAACCTTCTTCCACATTTAAAGTGTCTGTTCCTCCTCTCCCTCTCAGCCTTTCTCATCCTGTGACAGTGACTTTTTACTAATCCTCCTTTCAAAGTTATTTTGACATTAATGGCTGATGCTAGCACTGATCACTCAGTATCTTCTGTGACCTATTGTGAGGGTGTCATAGGCTTCTTGAAAATGTTGCTGGCCTCACTTCCTCCTCTGCTGTGTCATGGTTTGTCCTCTCTGATCCAGAGGAATGAATTTCCCCTCTTATCTTACTCTAACAGCCTGGTTGCTAATTCAATGAAACCCTACATTTATAGATGTTGCTATAAATGGCTTCTGTTTTGCACCCGTTCTTCTTGTGGGCAGCCTCTGGGATAATCAGGAAGGCACAGAAATCCCCAGCTCTCTTGAGGTTTTCTTCCAGTCCAAGCTGCTGCTCTTTTCAGAGTGACTCAAGTGTCTTGGTCAAGCAACAGTGCAGCTGTGTATCTTTCTCAGCAGTGCTGAACAAACTTTGAGGGGTGCTTGGCTGTCTTGCTGTCAACATTTATAAACCACCACCACAAAAAGTTCTGAGACTGATTTTTATCGTTCAGCTTTTAGAATTTTTACTTAAATAAGTTTATTAGTTCTACCAATAACAAAATCTCGTCCAGTGTTATTCTGTAGCACACAGACATCCTGTTAGAACATCTTCAAATGGAAAAAGTGGGGCATTTATTTCCCAGAATAACTTTGTGAATCAAACAGGTCACATTTTGCTGCGAAGGCAGGTGAGGCATCGGTATTGCATGTTGGCCCCATTCACTTTCTGGTGTGGATTCAGAAATGCCAGTCAGGGTGGCATGAAGCCAGTGGCAGACAGAAGACACACTTTGTGCCTTAACAAGAGCTACCTTATGCAATTGCTCTAAAATATTTCAATAAATGAGATATGAGGGAATGACCTACCAGAACATTTAGGAGGAGTTCTTCCAAGCTGGTATCTCACCCTGCCAGGGCGTGGTTATGTCCCTGGCACAGGCTGTGTGACAGCAGAGCAGCCACTGGCTGAAGGTGCCAGAGTTGGACATTTGACCCCTAGACAGGAAGAGAAAATGAAGATTTATGTCCCAGCAAGTGTAGTGGTCTTTCATCTCAAAAGTGAGTGAGCCATTCAAAACAGCTTAGTAAAAGGTTTGTGAGGCAATCAAGCTTTTTAATAAATTTTGAAGAATCAGAAATTCATAGAAATGGAATTGCAGTCGTGGAGCAGCAGGAATCCCATTATGGAGAGGCGGGCAGTCTGAGTGCCACAGAAATGGACAGCCTTGGCACATCAGGTGTAAATTGCTTTTAACACTTGCAAAGGGTGAACTAAGAGCTTGGTTTCTTCCCCACCACCTTCTGCCCCTCATCCTGAGCTGCATCTTGACATTATACACATTTGTGAACAAGGACATCCTCTGGAAGTTGAGCAGTGGCTTGAAAAACCTTGTTAACTCAGGCAGGCACAAACATGTTTAAGGAAAGTTGCAATTAATTTTCTACTCTCACATCTCCCTATGAAAAGCTGTTATGCCATTTGCACTTGCCAAGGCCATGGAAATCTCTCACCTTCCTGCAATTACAGTTGTGTGATTCTCCTAACTGCATGTATTCACCCTTCTGCCTAAAATCAAAAATTTCATAAATAAATAATCTAGTTCCCAAAATTAAAAATTTATAAAACACGACTAATAAATTAATGTTTTTTTAGATTCTGGATCAAGACATCAGGAAACTTTGGATAAGACTTAAAAATATTTTGCATTCACATCCAACAAAAGACCTGGTTTCCTAATGAAGTGTAATGCTGTTTTTAATTAACATTTTAAATTTATGTGATATGTATTTTACTGACCCACATGGATGAGGCAATTAGGCTGAATCCTTTCATGAACAGAGATCCTTTGCTTCAGACAGAGGTGTTGCCTGCAGTTGAAGGAATCTGAGTCGCCTTTGTCAAAGAAAGCAGTTTCATATTATGATCACAGAAGAATATCAGTGCTAAATAAGCCCACTGGTGCTCTCTTCACCCATCACAGATTCCTGTAGGTATCTTGTGACATCTGCAGGTCCTGAACGAGCTTATAGCAGGCATGAAATGCTGAAGGACAGGCTGTGCTGTAAAAATAGATGTGCCAACACGACCTGGACCTCTGATATATCAATTTTTTTATATTTTGCTTGTCCTCTCCTCTTTAATTTATTCCTGAATTGTGTGTGCATAGTGTAGATGATTTCTTAGCCACTTCTGTATAAACATCTTCCTCCTCTGCTTGCTTTCATCGACCTGTGATGATATGGATGAAATCCAGTTGCCAACCTTTTACTGATACTGGTGTCCTAGGTGCTGTTGGCAGAGGTTTTCAACCTTTGTTCCCAGTTGATTTTTTTTTTTACTTTAGAGGCCTTTCTTGAAAATTGAAATGTCTCTTTGTAGATGCTAACCAGGATTTAAACATTTTTAACGCATATCAGACTTTCCAAAATGCATGTTCCAATTTGTGGAATGGCGAGTATTGGTTCAGTAAACACTGGAAAGTGACCCTGGGCTAAAAATGCTCTTACCTGACAACCTGCTGCCTTGTTTTTGAACAGGAGACGTCATTGAATTCCACGGTGCGGAAGGGACAGGAAAAACGGAAATGCTCTATCACCTCATAGCCCGCTGCATCATTCCAAAGTCGGGAGGAGGGCTGGAGGTGGAAGTCATGTTCATTGACACAGACTACCACTTCGACATGCTCCGCCTGGTTACCGTTCTGGAGAACAGGCTGGCACAGGGGACGGAGGAAATGATAAAGCAGTGCCTGGGAAGGCTTTTCCTTGTGAACTGCAACAGCAGCACTCAGTTACTGCTCACTCTCTACTCCTTAGAAAACCTGTTTTGCGCTCACCCCTCGCTCTGTGTTCTGCTTTTAGACAGTATATCAGCTTTTTATTGGATAGACAGAAGCAATGGAGGGGAGAGCCTTACCTTGCAGGAGATGAATCTGAAGAAATGTGCCAACTTTCTTGAAAAGCTTGTGAGACAGCACCACTTGGTCCTCTTCGCAACAACACAGACACTTATGCAGAAATCTGCAAACTCTGCAGAAGGCTTTTTCCCTTTAAAACTTCCAAATGAAACTGATACAGATTATAGACCAGATCTTTGCAAATCGTGGCAACAAATGGTAACCCACAGGATATTTTTCTCTAAGCAGTGTAGTTCTGGCAGCAGCAATGGTTTTACAGTCATTTCTTGCCACCTCAAAAGAAACCAGGTAGTAAAACGTTCATTTAGTGTTGCAGAATGTGGAGTTCAGTTTTAACTTCATATTGCTTTGTAAATGTTGAGCAAATCTTGGTGCTTAAGGCCTGGTTAGGTCTAAGTAGTTTCTGGTGCCTTTAAAACTAGCTGTTTGTTGCTGAGTGATTAAGAATTTTTGTAATTTCTTTTGTCATTTATCATGTTCTTAAAATTTAGTGACATTTTTGTTCATACTTAACCAAAGACACATTAAACTCCAAGTATCCTTCAGTAATCTAACCTGTGTGGTACGTGACCATACACACTGATTGAATTTCTGGGTCTTGCTGCTTTACACTCCTTCTCTTCCAAGCTCCAGCCTGGTTGTCCACGGGGGATGCTGCAGAGAGGCGAGAGTTCACTTTATAAACACTGGCCTTGGTTTATTCCCTGTAGCCCTGGGCATAAGAAATGTGTTCACGGCTTTGCCTGAGGAAGGGGATTCTTTTTCACAGCTTGTGAAGTGGCAATCCTGACTCTGCTTCTCCAGGCTCGCAGCCTCTCTGTTTCCCTTGGCATGTTCTGGGAGGAGCGGGGATTGCAGGCCTTCTGACCCTTACAGACATCTGGGTTTGAAAAATCTACACCCAGCTCAGAAAAAGGGGCCTGATTTCCATAACTGAAGGTAGAGTAAAGACCCAGCTCTGGGTACCTATGAGTTTGTGCTGCATGCAGCAAACAGTTTAGCCTTTGAAAATAATTAAGTGCTGGTTCTGGGTTGTTTGGGGTGGGGGAGTGGGGCTTTTCGCTTTTTTTTTTTTATTTATTTTAATGATGTACAAACATTTTTTTCTCTTCCCTCCCTCGTTATTCCTTCCCACTTCTTTCTCTGCCCCCAGTCTCTCTAAGAAATCCAGGAATGCCATGCCTCTGGTCTTTACCAATATGTATTTGCCACATGTAGAACATTTGTGTGCAGGGTTTGGCATGCAACATGTTGCAATTCTGGCAAAGAAGATTCAGAATTTATGGGAAATGCCCTACAGTTCTGGCAAAGAATACCATATTATTTATGAACCTAGAGTGCCCTTTGAAAGCTTCAAAGTGCTTTACAAGAAAGAAAATTGCACACAGAACATTATTTAATACAAAAACTTACGTTAGCTTACAAATTCAAATTACTCAAACATGGGGGAAATATTTCTCACAGCGATATTCGTTCAGTCATGTTGCACAGCATGTTTTGTAGTTTAGATTGAGTAGATTATTAACAAAAATGCATATTAAGAAGTATCGAGCTCTTTTGAGTATGCATCTTTTTGGGGAAGATGCCTAAAAAACTCTGTTGTGAGACACCTACCTTTGAATGTCCTGACTTCTGAGGCAGCGTTTTCAAGCTAAGTGTATGTCTGGATTCCCCAGCTGCATATAGTTCATTTACCCTCTTGGGTTCCACTGTCTCTGTTAACAATGAGTTCAGTTTAATTATTCTTTCTGTAGGAAAACTTCCTTTTTGTGCCCCCCTTGATTTCAAACTTTCCATCTGATCACTTCTTTACACCATCTGTTCCTTTACTGTGACACATGAGTGAACTTTGCCTTTTCAACATCTCCACAGAGCTGATGATTTTATAGATTGTTGTTTCATGTGTGCTTTCTCTTCCATCAGAACATGTATTTTATTTCAGACTTGCATAAGTACACAAATACATGAAAAAACACACAGCAACCATTCAGCCTAGACTGGACCTGAGTTAGATGGTTTACCATGAGCAGACACTCCCACTAGGAACTATTATAAAGGGCATTCTTCATTTTTTTTCTGAAAAAAAGAACAGAAAGATTCAAATAGAACTACAGAACTCTAAAAGGTGAAAATTACAGGACTACGTAACTTCTACGAGGAAAAAAGCAGCCCCCTTTCCATAGGAGAATACAGCTCCACTGATTCATAACTGCTTCAGAAAATCATTCTTGCTAAAAATGTGGTTGAGAAAAAAAAACCAATGGATATGTTTCAGCATTCCCGTCTGGAAAAAGTGCTTTTATATTATTCACAATGTAGTTTGTATTTTGCATTGTACTGTAGAAGAAATGCCTAAATTGGAAGAAAGCCAAAGTTCTAGTTGATCAAAAAGAGCACCTCAGGAAATTTAGAAATTTCCCAGTTTTATTTTTGCTTTGAATGCAGACAGATTTTTTTACTTCTCTGATAATTGTAATATTCATGCTCTGCACATTTGTTTCAGCTGAATAGCAAGCCTAGATTTCAAGGTGCTGAACATCTACATATCCCTGTAATACTGCAGGAGGGATAGGCAGTGTGCAGTCTGGGAGTGCACTGACCTCAGCCTCTGCCAAAATTATGCCATTTGGAAAAATGAACCTTTAGGATACAAGTCTAAGAAAGATGCAGTGATTAAGAACCTGGGAAGCAGCAATGTTGTTTGTCCCTTAATGCACTGTGAGTATGAAAAAGGGAGTTTACCATTTTCTAAATGGAGAATTTTCTCAAAGTTTTGTACAAATTGTGGTTAGTGGAGAAGGCAGTTTGTCCCTGTGAGCCAGGAACAGTATTTCAAACGTAGCATAATACTTAGAATGTGCTGTTAAATGCAGATTCTCCTCTTTCACCCAGACCCAAGTTACCGCCCCGTCTCCATCCCACTGTCTCACCTGGAGTGCCCTGTGCTGCTGCAGCTCAGACTCCCGGGGAGGAAACTCATTTTGGGTTAGTAGGTCTGTGCTGCTGGAATTCAGCCCTGCAGAAGGGGGTGGAATGCATGTATCCCTACCCTAAACTCTGATGTAGCCAGGTATTTCTTGGAAATGAAAATCCTTTCATGTCAGTGCCATTGTTCTTCAGCTCAGTGTGGTATTGTTAAGGCTTTTGTAGGCATAGGAGCTTCTTACATTCCTTAGAGTTTGTTGCTTCATATGCCGTATGGAATTAAAGCAACAAACTTGAAATAAAGAGGAACTAGTCCACCCTTTTCCCCCATCCTTTTTATAGTTCTTAGCAAAACCAAATTAAGGTATTTTGCAGGTTTTATATTTATTTTCAACTAAACTAATATTTCTATGGATACCTGAAAAGAAAATGTGGGGTTTTATATCCAGTAAAAAGTTCTTTTGTATGCCTAGACTTTTATAGAGCAAATAAAATACAAATAACAGTTTGCTTGGTTTAAGTTTGTACTTGCAAAATAAAATTTCCTTTTTCTTAAATAACTGATTCCAGCCACTTAGTTTTCCCTGGAGTTTGGAAATGGCAGAAGATAAAGGTTCTCCTGTGGAAACATACCTGCAGTTTTATTTTTCCTGGAGAGTAATGGGCAAAGGCAGAAGAAATACCACTTTGATGGCTGCTGCATAGAAAGCTTGGACTGTGTCCTGCAGAGGAACATGACTTTTAACTTTTCTGTGGCTGCTCTAATAAAATGTCTCTTGAAACTCTTTATTCAAATGTACTTTTGATATGCAGTTACCATACTGGGCTTGATGGGCAACATCACTTTGCAATCAGCAAGCCTTTTGCCAAACTCAGCACCCACCACAGGAGGAAGCCGTGCCACAGCACCAAACTCAAGTCATGTAGGAAATTGCAGTGAATTCTCACCTGTGTAAAAGCTGCAGACGGTTGTGATGTTTCCAGCAACTACACAGTAGTAGCACAGGACTTGCATGTTTGCTTAAAAAAAGGGAAACATTCAAAGGGCTTGGAAGACTTTGGCAGTGGAAAAAAATTTCAGACAGGGAAAGGAGCATCAGTACAAAGTATCTTCATGATCTTCTGGATGGAGAACTCTGATGCCCTGCAGCAGTCTCTGAAATCAAAGGTCTGGGCATCCCTGTGGGTGAAAGAGTGGCACTGAGCTGTGAATAACGTGGCTACAACAAAAGGACCCGTGAACTGTTCACTAACTTGGAATGGTAATGCTTTCAAAGGGAAACTTGACCATAGTTGACCTGCAGGCTCTTCCCAACTGGGAATATGGATTCCACTATGTAGATGCTTTATAGCTCATTTATAATGAAAATATAAACCCCTGCTTCTCTGGACCCAGGAGGAATTAAATGTAAAAACAGACTTCCTTCTTATATGTTGGGGTTTTTTTCCCCTCCAGCTCTAGGCACCTTCCCAACACTCAGCACTTAGCTGCAAAGCTCTCTCACAGCCTTCTGTGGCAGGATCAAGCTTCACTGAAAGTGGGTAGTTTTCTCCTTTGCTAAGAGTTTATGTACACTCTTTATTACCCATGCAGGCTGGGCTACCCAGATAGGGAAGATTGAACCCACATCAGTCTAACTGGTAAACAGCTTTGGAGACTCGATTCTGTTTGCACTCAGGAGCGATGTCACATCAGAGCAGATGATTTCGAAGAACCATGGCTGTGACTTTCCCTGGGAAAAGTTTGGCAGTCTTCCCTCTGCTTTCCCACCCTGCCTTGCGTCCTGCCCCAACCAACTGGTCGGTGTACCTGTGTGGGCCTCAGTGCTCAGGGATAGCGGTGACAAGATGTCACTGCCTTGCCAAATGCTGGTGAACAGCCACATTCTGGATCTTGGCACCCTCCTACTACAGGAGTTGGCACAACCCCTGTAGCTGTTAATTTAAACCATTTGCCAGGCTTCTTTCTCACTGGGCCAGTGCTAAAGACCTCCTAGCCCTGGGGGGAGACAGGAAAGAGGAGAAATCTTGGGGTTTGAGTATAGGAGGGATAAGATTTTAGGCCACTGCTACAAAAAAGAGGCCCGGCAAGGCCATGAGGCTCCTGCAGTCAAGGCCTCGAAGGTGGCTTGGCAAAGGTCAAGGAACAGACTCCATCTCCCATGAAGGGGTGAATAGGACTTTTGACTAAAATTATCTGCACACTCTTCATCCTGCTGAGACAGAAGACCATGCTACAGTGGACAGTGCTGTCTCTGAAGCACATCTCAAAGGCTCCACTCAAACTCCATCAGTGACAGTTCTGTCTCCATCCCGACTTCTCCATGGGCTCCCAGTAAAATCTTAGGCAGTTTTATCAACTCTTGCAAAATATCAGCAGAGTGTTTTTCTGATCTGGTAAAGAACAGTTGCAGAAGTAAGTAAACAAGACACCACGTGGCACACCACAGTTCACGAGGCACAGGTAGGATTAGTCCCACAGACCCACAACTTGCTGTAAAACAGCATTAGCAGAACAAAAAAAAAAAAAAGCACAACCATCTTCTCAGGGAATATAAAATGGGATTTTTAGGTACAGAAATTACTCTGGCCTGTCCCCAACATTCTAAGGCCATTTCCTAACT